AAGGAAGGCTGCGTGGGCTCGTCTTCAGGTCACCTACGCTCACACGCAGATATAATAAAAACACACAAAGTCCTGGCCCACGCTCGCTCAGCTATTTTCGACCCCACGTGGAGAAAAAATAAAAAACCATACCAGTTAGACTTAAAAGCGTGGTAATTATACCCGTTTTATAATTTACTTAAAAGGAATTTTGGATGTGCGTTGCAAAGAGTTTTTAAATTGACAATGTGTTATTTTTAAAATAATCATTTCACTATCAAAAGATCCTTATCAATTAATTTTAAGTAATTTTAATATTGTTACAAAGTAAGTAGTACATTTTGATTTCTCAGCAAGTATTATATTAATTTATTAAATGGCTTTAAGAATTTCAAGCGCAATTATTATTTCTATAAGTCTTACTTTAAAGTGTCTGCTATTAAATTCTTCCACCAATTTCCTGTGACTGAAAAAATAATGTTTTAATTCAATTATTAAATATTATTAAATACTGAAAATAAGAAAAGTTTTTTTTCGGCGAGTTCGAAAGTCTTTTAATTTCTGAGGATGTATATCTATTGTTTTTAAATTCTAAAAATGGGAAGAGCTAAGTTTAATTATGATGTCTATCTTGTTATTAACAGTTACTAAATTTTGAAAATAAATTCCAAAGTCACTCAATTTCTAAAGATCATTATATTCAATGATTTTCTGTTATCAACTATTATTTTTCTCAGTGCACTCGTGCAGACTTTGCATATGAAGCGAGGATAAGGAGGAAGGGAGGTGGCAGCATTTCGCATTTGTTTGGACGTGTCCAAGTTGTCACCTGCTGGTGGCAAAGGTCACGCCCAGGCAATTGCATTACGAGTTGCCAGCCCAATTCAAAGGGCTGTCATAAGCAGTTACTGCCCGCCGCCACCCATTCCACACAAGAATGTCATCTTTAGCTCACTATATCCATGCTGACTGCTCTGTGCATCATCATCATCATCATCATCATCATGTTCATCATCAACATCTTTGGCTTTATCATGGGTTGTCGGCGTCAGCCATTCATTGACGACAATTCTATGGGCCAACGATTTGTTTTTGCTAGCTGCGCACACATATAGTCGGATATATACCGATGGTTGGATATATATATATATATATATATATTTATAGAGAGCTGTGCCTGTGTGTTTAGGCCATTTCTAAAGACGCTCGATTAATGAGCGTTTTGTATGCGTTGCTCGACCACCGCCTCGCCTCTTGGGTGGTCAACAGAACCCTCGTTTTCAAACTAAATAAACGGAAGTGAGCGTGGGCTGATCTGGAAACGCCCCTCCTTCCCCACACCCATGAACAAAAAGGGGGTGCAGTTATTGTCTTAGTTTGCTAATGGACAAGATTTGCCAGGAAAGCCTCAAAACGTAGTTAGAGCCATGGAAAAGAGCTTAAACGAGGGGAATATACAAGAGGATTGTGCAAAAATAGTAATCAAATCGAAAATTATTTGCTGGGATAGAGTACAGGGCAATTATAAGCCAAAGTCTTTAGTAATAGCAATAGATCTAAAATAAGTATGGGTTTATTTTTAAATTAACTTTATTGAACGAAATTTCTTTTTCAAATAGTAAAGTGTGTAGAACAAATATTTTTTTAATATTCTTTTTCGAATTACTTCTACGAATACGTATCCATATATACATATATAAAATAAAATAAAAAAAATATAAAATCCATTATTTACAAAATACTAAATTGCATATATACTTCACTAAATAATTCAGTCTAAATTTCAAACTTAATTACACAAAATAAATAAAAACGCAAGGAATCAACATCAAAATCATTTTCATATTTGCCAAAAGCCTTTTTGTAATTACTTCGTAGACCCATTAATTAATGATTAACCCCAAAAAGATGTTTTATATGCTCAAAGCCCCTTTGAATTTATTTCGTACGCTTTATAAATCCACTAGTCGTCAGCTCTTTCAATTGCAATTGTGTGTTGGCCCCCACAACAAACACCCGAACTGGTTGTTTTTGTTATTGTGGGATTTATTTTTAAAAATTATAATTTTCAAAAATAAAAAGGCCATTTTTCGTTGGCGTTTTTTTCTTCTTATATTTTTTTTGTTCAGCGTCGGTGCGACGACAAAAATAATGAAAATCACATGTTTGCTTGCGGCATAAAAATGCTTGTTGTTGTTGCTCTCAGTTCAGTTCAGTTCAGTTGAGTTTTCGGTTTTGGTTTTGGTTTTGGTTCTTGTTGGGCTGTCATTTGGCGTTTTGCTTTGCTGGCAGCACAACACAACACAACGCAACACAACACACATATCTTATAGATACTTTACTATATATGCGCCATGACTATCTATATAGGGCCTATCTGAAATCTCAACCCATTCTGTACCTTTTTCGAGTTCAGTAAATGTCACTTGGGATGAAAATTGCAATCGTTTTAATATATATTCTGGTAATTCATATGCAGAGACTATAATAAACACTTTTCAATTGGGTTTCTATGTTTAGTTGAGCCGTTGCTTCAATTATGTCGTCGGTTGTTGTCGTCAGCAGCGTACTTTATAGTACATATAGTATATAGAATATATACCCATGCCTTACATTTGGTAACTGTTTCGTGATTATCTATTTTTAGTGTTGCGAATGCAATTAATTTGCTGTCATTTCGGCCCCTCGCCTGTTGTTCGTGTAATTTTATTTCTGCTGGCTATTCTTGATACATCCCAAATAAGACAGAGGAAGATGTATGCATGGTATGGATATATATATAGACGAATTGCTATAAATCAGGTGCGCGGGGATTGGCAGCACAGGTTGGTTAAAGGCGGCGCGAGTCTACCATACAAAGTTACAGGTGATCTACAAAGTTTTGTGGACGAGCAACAAAATTGTATATAGTATATAGTATATGGCATATACCCCTCGGAAACCTCAGAAATCTCGGAAACCTTCACGACTTTCCCATCTATCTGGCTGTCTATTTGGCGTCTGCGTCATCAACGTCATTGTGGATCTGTGTGTCTAGCTGTTTATTTAGCTAATAAAAATTAAGCATTTAATTTATTTATTCAGATATGTTTGTGTGCACATGTTTTTGGCAGATACGAAACGCGAGAATTCCTTCTTTCCATTATGAATGAAATTTGTATTTGTGTATTTGTGTATTTTTGGCTATGACATAAATTCAGAACAGCAAAACAGAACAGAGAGAACTCACAGCAAAACGCAAAAGAAGGCCACTTAATTCAATTGAAAATTGGTAAAACCCTCAGCCGATCGATCAAAAAATGTTAACTTATCGCTTGAAAAGTTTTTACGCCTCTTTTATTTATTCTGCCTCTCGTTTCCGTTAGCCCCAAAAATTAACAGCCAGCAAAAAGTAAATAAACTTAAATATTTTTCGTTGGTTTATCAGTTCTCTCGCCGTCTTCTTTTTTTTCTTCTTTTTTCTGATTTTTTAAGCGTGTGTCAGCGTGAAAAGAAAGCAAAAGCAGCAGGCAAAGCCCCGAAAAAACGAGCCTAATACCTTTCTGGGGGTCTCTTATCGAGCCACAAAAAAGTGCTACATCGATGACGAAACTGCCTCACCTCACACACTCTTTGGCTTGGCTAGATTAAAACCAAATCGAAACCCATCGAAAATGTGTTTAAAAATAGAGTAGAAAAACAGGCTCAAGTGTCCAAAGGTTTGCCACACAACACAACACAGCACAACACACATCACATCACATCAAAACAAAAAGTGTACAAAGAAAAAGTGGGCAACTGATTAGAAGGGTTTAGCTAAAGTCAGTCGTCAGTCGACTGATTTGTGAATGGAATTCTCTGTGATCGATCGATCTCTGGATCGTTGGTTCGTCAGATCGTTTAAATCGCTAGATCGGATCGAATCGGATCGACTGGCCATTATCAGTCGATCGCTGGGCAACAATGAAACAACTTTATAAATTCATATTCTAGAATTTCTGAATTTCTCCGCAGATGCAAGCCGAATCGAATCGAATCGAATCGAATCGGAGAGCAATTTATTTTCAATAAAAAGTGATACTGCTGATATTCTCCTGTATGCGAGTGTGTTGGAGGGGATTATCTGTCTGGTACGATCAGTAAATACCGAATACTGATGGGAGACGAGGCCAGACAAACAAACAACTTGAAATGTCAGTTAAACATTTTGTTCGGAGCAGACGCGAAAAAAATATATCAAATAAAAAACAGGAAAATTTATTTGATTTTACTTTGACAGTTAATGCATTTATATATATTTATTTTTAGCACTCTCTGGCGAGATCAAAGCGATTCTATCTATAGAACGTTTTGTATTCTTCAATGAAATTCTAGAGGGCAGTATGATTTGTAGTGGGCAAAATATATATAAAAGGAGGAAAAGCAATCAATTTGTCCAACTATATAACAGATTACGTTTTAGAGATGAAGACTTAATATAAAATTGTATTTTATTTAAAAGCATAAAGATTGTTAACTGTGGAACAGAAACTACATATGTGTTATGAAATAATATCCATAAGCGAAAGATCAGTTTACCTTATAGTTAACAATGTTTTTATTTATTTCTGTTAGATTTAAGCATCTATTACTTTTTTAAGATAAATTTTTACCTAATCATAAAATATTCAATAGCATCTAAAATATTGGTATATTGCTTCCCGATTCTTGAAGATGTGATGTTTTAATTCGGAAAAACATAATTGGTTCCACTATATTTCTTCCTAAACGCTGAACACCAATTATGTTTGTTTTCAAAAAAGAAAAAACATGTCACGATGCAGTCATAAATTAATCAGATATTCGCATGGAATATAAACATATACACCAATTATTTCTATCAAGAGTTGTGCATTTCCTGGCAATCCATCTGGCCGAAGGTTAGACGCCAAAACGTGATTAACTGAAATTGCTGCTGCATTTCAGTGCGGCTATGTATCTAAGTATCTACGTATCTACGTATCCGAGGGATATATCTTGGCCGCTGTGGGGGCGAAACTTACATTGATTTTCAAAAGCAATCCGTGGTGCAAATTCCGTAATTTATCACCATAAATGTGTGTGCTGTATTATATGTTGTGTAATCCTTATTTTTTTTTGCTTCGTCGTGTATCCAAAATATGTAGCTTAAGATTTTTGGTTATAATCCAATGGCGTTTTGGAGCGGGGGTTCTTTAGATTCGACTTACTCGCGATCGCGACTGCTCGATTTATTTAGCATTTATTAACGATGATTTTTCGCTTTGCTTTCTTTCGCATTTCATTCACAAAAGTAAATTCAATTAACACAAAAACGACGCCGGCGACGGTTGTTTGATTTTGTTATTATTTTTCGCCCAGCCTCGTTTTATTTTATATTCGCTGGTATTGTTGGCGTGCCAAAAAAATAATAATAATCAACTTTGGCGACCGGCAATGGTAAATTGTTGTTGCTATTGCTGTTGCTGTTGTTGTTGCTGCTGCTGCTGCTGTAGTAGTTGTTGTTGCTGTTGTTGTTGGAGCAGCGACGTCGACTGCGCTGCTGGCGTCGCACAATCACACACAGATACACCAACACACTGAAAGCGGGGGCCACGTCGTCGTCGCCTGTGTGCGGCGAATGTATCTGTATCTGTGTGTCTCGTCTTGAGTAAAAAAATATTTTTATGCAATTTTATATATGTACGTACATATATATAAAAATATTTGTGTGCGCGAGAGAGAGACTGTTGTTATTTGAATTTGTATTTTATTTTTTTTTTTTTGTTATTTGACTTTTAACCAACACGTTTTGTATTTGATTGGCTTGAGTTGGACTTTTTACTCTTTTTTTTTCAAATAGCAATTTGCATTTGTAGGCACATGATTTCCATTGGAAGCGATTGTGGTTTGGTAAACTATTTCTATTTCCCAAAAATAAACACTCACTTTTCACCACACACAGAATATTTTTCAAGTGATTTTCGGCTTGTTGTGTTGTGTTGTATATATAAATATATATAATATATATATGTGGTTGATTAGCGCGGCTTGGTAGTGTTTTGTTTTGCTTAACAGGTTATTGTTTGTGTTGCTTCGAAAAAAAATGTTGCAGTTTGATACAAAAGTGGCTTGGTTTTTGAGGAAATCGGAAAGACAGCGAACGCGGCAGTCGCGGCAACCGCTCGTCACGAGGTTTTGAAGCGAAATGAAGCGAAATGAAGCGAAATGGGCCGCCGCTGGTTGGGAACTTGGGTGAGAGCCGAATGTTGTCAGCCGAAAGAGCGATTTCCCAACAGCAGTGTTAAAACACAGCGTTTAGTGGCAGAAATACAGAAATTTGTGTTTCTTAACAGGTTTGGGAGAGCGAAAAGAGAGAGAGCGCGCTGCAAAGGCGCTGTTGCTCGAAATGAGCCCCCCTGTTAACTCAGAGAGGCGGCGAATTTGAAATAACAACCGGCGATCACTAGTCTCTTCTTTTTTTTCTATTTTTTGCCTCTTAATTGAACGAAATTTTTCATTCTCAATAAGTTACGGGTGTGTGTGAAAGAGCATTTGCTGAATGGGCGTTTTACGGGTGTTTTTAAGGGGTTACTCATGAATTTTCCCATACCATTTTTAGGAAAAACTATATAAAATCATTTAAAATTATTTTATTTGTTAAAAATACTTAAGAAACCTTTTTAAATGACTAAAAAACAAGCACAGGAAATGCTGGCGGCGAATTGAACTGACGCACACACTTAAACTCCAGCGAATGCATATGTGAGAGCAAGTATCTCTTGCTCTCGGGCGGCGAATTCGTATGTATTACAGTGGTTTTTTTGTTGTAAAGGCACATGGCAGGCGATGAACGGCCTTAGTTGAAGACCCCAAGCTCCCCCCCGCCACCACAAAACCCCCATCAAACTTTTTATCAAGAGAGGGAGAAACAGAATGAGAGGGAGAAAAAGAGAGAACGGGAGAGGGAGAGCAATAGCGACATTTCGTACTAAAAACCAACCGGACGTTGCCGCCCCTGGCCCCCCAAAACCCCGCCCCCTTCCACACTACCAGTCCCCCCTTACCCCTCCCCCATCTCGGCTATCTGTGTGTCTGTGTGCTTTCTTGTGTTTGTGTAAAAAACGGAAATTGAAAATATGCCAACTTGTAGGCGCGCTCGTTCGTTTTCAGTGGTGGGTGGTGGCGCGGGGGTTTTATTTTAAGAGGGGTCTGTGGGGCGAGGGGGTCGAGGCGAATTCATGCCAGTTTCTTTTTCATTCACTTAAATTTAAATGCAAACAGCGAACAGCTCGCAGCGCAAACAAACAACAGAGCAAAGGCAAAGGCAGCAACAACAACAGCGAAATACGGCAAATACAAAAAATACAAAAACCACAGCAAATACAGCAAAGCCAAGCGACAGCTGGGCCCCCCGCAATGTTCGAGCCCCTCCACGAACCCCCCTGCCCACAGCCTCTGCCTTCAACACACCATTAACCCTTCTAAACTCTTAGAATTCGTTTTGTTTTTAAATACCATTTTTTCGAATTTTTGAAACTTTTTTTATTTTAAATAAAAAAAATTAGCTCTAAGAAAGGTTGAAACACTTTAAAATCAATATTCCACCTATTTTTTTTTGGTTTATTTGTTTTAGAACAAATCAGTTTCTTGGTGCCCAAATCAATGGTAATGAGAAATTCAGTATTATCTTACAAGTTCAACTATTAATCCGATCTTGGCCTCTCTTTTATTCAAAACTTATAAATTAGGACTAAGTAATCAGGAAAATAAAATTATAAAAATAAATATTAAAAAAACTAATTTACAAATTAACATTCCAGCTGTTGTTTATATAAAATTAAAAAAGAGTCTTTTGTAAAAACTAAAATTAGTGGTAATGCCGATTTCAATATTAAATTAAAATCTTGACCACCAAACCGATCTTGGTCATCCCAAAACCATTGGCTGTATGGGGTTAAGCAGCTGGCTTGCCTACGCGGCGAATCCCGATCCGAACAAGTTTTCCACGAATGGGTGTGCTGTCGTCGTCGCTTTTCCGGCCGTTGCGTGCATAAACTTGGTAATTTTCCCCGTCGCCAATTTGCCAATCACCTCTCGGCTCTCGGCTCATTTTCCATATTATCTGCGTTTTTCCCTCAATGAATTTTTCCTCAAGCAAGTTTTCACCCAAACTGTAGCAGCCACAATTTAAAAAATACATCTAACAAATACAATAAACTGAATGATATATTTTAAACGTAGTAAATAATGAGTACATTTTCCAAATAAAAAAAGGTATGAAAAAGAAACGCTGACTGCGCTGCTAACTGCGCCGCGTTGGCTTTATATGAATGAAAATTACGCACACACAGGGAGAAAGTTGGGGAAGGGGGGTTTTCGAACGGGGGGTGGGGGATTGTATCTATGCGTGGACAACTCAAGATGTTCATCCATGTGTGTGTGATTGGGTTTCCAGCCACTGAGATGGTGTGTGTGGACGTGTGTACGTTGCATGAGGTAAGCACAAGATGTTGTGCTCACGTGTGTTCGTGTGTGCGTAGAAATGCTGGGCTCAGGTGAGACATAGGTGGAAAATCATTCACACCAAAAGGTAAAATCGTTGATCAAACACCAGTTCGAATTTTGAACTACAAAAATATTTATACAACTTTTATTCTTTACTACCTGGTACTATTTTTAAATGCGCGATGTACAGTTTTCATAGAAGTACGAACGTTATTTTTAGGTATTTCATAGGGTTATTAAATACCTTTAAAATATCACTATTTTTTAGTTCCATTAAGATGATTTTTCATCATGACTTAAAGCAAAATTTATTTCTTTAAAATTCAAATATATTTCTGATATTTCTTTAGCCGAACAATTGTTTCTAAACATTTCTAAACTGCTGATATATCACAAAACGGAACCCACGAAACCAACTACTCGTGTATCTTGAGTGTAAATGATGTTGAAAAAGCAAAAACAAAAACGCGACTGGTTGTCGTTGTTTTTGTTTTTTTCCCCCCACAAGTTGTTGCTGTTGTTGTTGCTCTCGAGCAGAGTTGTCGCGGCCAAGCTGTAAAATAAATACACGACTGGAGCGGCGCGTGCGGTTTTAAAGCTCGACAACTCTGGCCTGGAAATCTCCAATTCAAACTCAAAAAACCAGTAGCACTTTTCTCAACGCGTCGAGAGGAAAATGTGATAAAATACAATGAAATCGGGATGGGTGTTTCTAATAAGCCAAGCCAATCGAAGAGTAAACAAAGAAAAATATCTCTGGGATTTGGAATCCCGAGATTAGCTTGAACTTTCCCGAAAAAAAAACCAACGGGGAAGTGAATGTTTTTTTTGGTTACTATGGGGCGTAGTATCTGTAGAATACAAAATAAATAAATGGCATATTCCAAATAGGCGCAGATACACAGATACACGTATTTGCCATGCAAATTTCTCGCTCACATAAAAATATCTCAATTCTCAACTCTTTCCAAGAGAACATTTCGCCTTGCGGCGAATTGGCAAGTGCTCTCTCTCCCTCTCTCTCTCTCTCTCTTTCAATCAATCTGTCTGTCTCTCACAGATACAGATACATTCGCCTGGCGTTCGGCTTCGCTTCGTTTCGTTTCGCTTCGTCTTTTTTATGAATGAAATGAACGGGCCGCGATTATAATGAATGGAATTGGAGGTCTGTCCGATGCTCTGCCGACGTCAACGCCGACTGCGCCGCTGGCCTCGTGGGCAAACACAAAAATTGACTTTGCAAATTAAATACAAGTATATATATTGTTCATCTTGTGGTGTTTTTTTTCTGCCCTATAACATATATTATATATATGTATTTTCTTCGAATATTGGTTAGCATGCAATTTTTTGTCGAGTTAACTCCATTGAAAAGTGCTTAAGGCAGGTATTCACTGGATGTCTTCGCCGCAGACGAGTAGTCGCCATAAATCAGAGTTACAATACGGAAAAAATACACCATATATGGCCATTTTTTCGACCAGACTCTGCAGACTGGCTGGCATCAGTGGCGTAGGTGGAGATTGCCGATTTTTGGGGACTTAAATCACTTAAAATTATCATAAAATTATTAAAACTATATAATTATCAAAAAGGAAAAATAAGTTCTCCGATTTTTAAGGCACAAATTAGTTCATCGTGGAATTTAGTAGGTAATTTAGTAGGTAAGAATTAGTTCCAAGTCAATAAAACTAGCAAAGCTAAAATAAATAAAAATTTTCACAATGAACCCAAATTATATGCATGCCAACTTAAAAAATAAATTATTTGCAATTATCTGATTCACTATGTGTAAGAGCCTTAGCCCTTACCAAGTATTTGTAAAAATAATTTACAAGTCAAAATGGTCAAAATTAAAATATATATACATGTTTAATAATCGATACGCAAAATGTTTATTTGCCTGCTAAAAACCGAAATTATTAATTTGCAAATATCTGGTTCACAATGTATACGATATTTTAAATGTTAAACATATTTAATAGGGTTTAATACTATAAATAATATTAAAACCCATTTTTTAGATCAAAAACACTCTACGCCACTGGCTGTCATAATGAAGTCTTGACAAAATTCCAGCCTTCCTATGTGGGCGTTCAACATTTGGCCAGCTCTAGTCACAAAAACTAAGCAAAAATCAAATGGAGATGGGAAAAAAGAAACATTTACATAACACGCCTCATTTGAAGCAAGTTGCTCAGGTTTTCCCCCAGTAGTCCCCCAAACATGGCCCGATGAATTGGGAACCGGGCCATGCCGTATGTAAATCGAATATTTACCCCATCTGGAATCTGGAATCTGGAGAAACGAAACTTTCTACGCACTGAGCAAATTTCCTCCAGAACAACAGCATTTCGAGTATCTGTATCTTACAGATAAGAATAATGGTTTATCAGTTATCAGTCGCCTGAGTCACGGGGCTAACTCGTGACTTGACCAAATGCAGAACAACAAACAGTTTTAGCATTGCCTTTGTTGTTTGCCAATATTGATAATGCCGCAGGTAAATATTTATTTTTGTGGAAAATGTATTTACTTAAAAAGATTTCTGGAGAATATTCATAACAATAAGCTCTTGAAAATAAGTAATGGCAGTAAATTAATTTCATGGTATTATTGACAAGATTAATCGAATGATGTCTTGCTAATTTTTTTGATCTTATGTTAACAAAATCTAACAACATTTTTAGTGGTAGTAAAAATGGTTATA